TCTTGCAAAGACTTAGGTCGCCCTTCTCTGAGAGTTTGACAAGGTAGCCCTTCTTCCAATCAATCTCCATTTACCTTTCCTTCCCTCCTTCGTTTAAAACCTTTTACAATAGTGGTGTGAGCACGTCCACTGTTGTCTCTGCGTCTGCTTTCAGTAATTCCAGAGGAATTCCATATGGTCCTGCTGCTCCCCAGGATTTCAGCAACCTTGTGACGTGCAGGACTTCCCTTCTACCCCCTTCGGAGGGCTCGTGTTCACTGGTAATTCTGCAGTTGCTGGTGGTATTTATGGACGAGTGGTAGCAGCTGTCGATTCAAGAGTTTTATGAAGTGGTCAGTCCATCGTTTCGTTTCCTTTGTTTCCTCTCTTTTGTGGCAGCTAAGTTTCCTTCATTCTCTCTCATTGGTTCCATCTGTGTTAATCTTTTCCCAGATGTGATATAATGTTGTCAGGCCTCTCCTACCTGCAGCGTGTTCTGTTACCCTCGTGTGTCATAGAAGTGTCTTCCATCTTTGCGCACACTCTTCTTCACTTCTTCGTCCAGTGTAGTGTTTTATAGCCCGTGTTCAGTTCCCCTTTCCGTTGTTCATCCATGCACCACGCTGCACTGCACTACTTCATCTTCTGCTCCACCATCTGCATCTTCCTCCCCCTCCTCTACAAGCTTCCATGTGTCTATTGAGACCCATTCTTTGTCTTGACCCTCCTTCTTCCCTTCCAACACGGCTATGCGAGTTTCCTTTCACGTCTCTTTCAAAGAGTTCCAGTGTTCTTCCACACAGTTTTCCTCGGGGATGTTGCTCAATGTCTCACATTTTGTCCTGGTGGCTGGCTGACGTGAAGATGTCCTTCATAGCTTCGTCCTTCACTTTCTGTTCCAGGTGTTGAACTTGAACTGTTGTCTATCATCGCTAACTTCTTTCAAGGCTTTCAACTTGATTTTGAGAGTAGACTTCGTGCACTAGATAGTGAGTGGTGAACACCACCTACATCTGCCCTCCTTCTTGATCTGGTCTTGTGTCCATTAGGCCACGTCTCCACCTTCTTCAGATTGAGATGAACTCGATCTGATTTTTAGTGTCCCTCTGATGAAACCGAATCCATGTTGTTGTGTGAATATTCGGTCCAATCAACGATGATATATTACAAGCAGCTGTAATAATAGATTAAAAGAGTTAGCAACCAATGAGAGTTCAGCGCTCAGAGCAGTGGGAAAACGAAAAGGGTCATTAATGACCGCTTAATCATCTTAAAATCTCATGTTGCTTTACCTTTTTGGGACGAAAAACCAATTCACTTCAGTTTCTTTAACGATCAACTCTTCAGACTTTATCTGATTTCTGCGTCTCGTCATGAATTAACTACAGTAGATTTCTCGGAGAAAACTACTCCTGACAGTGTCTCAACAATACTTACATTCTCTACTGAAAACTACTCTGACTGAACTCTGGTCATATTCGACCAAAATGATAGTTAGACGGAGATTTCCTCTGTTTTGTTCCTACAAAAAGTGAAGCTATTGACGCTATCAAGTTTACCCGTATATCCTCTAATTAAAATCTTATAAAAATGTATTGGCCGCCTCAATTCGCTTTATTCTACAAAAAGTCGTTCATCCTATCAGTGAATTATTCAGACTGCTTTATTCATAGAAATACCAGGGTAGAAGAGTATTTTATAACGCCTTAGATTTATTTGACATCTACATAATCTAGTTTTCTGAAGAACTGGGACGGAAATCCTGTATTTATGAACTCCAACAGCACCAAATACATGGCTCATTGATTTAGGCAGCTGACTTTCAACCAGTAGGTCGCGAATTCAAACCCCTTCCCGCCTACCAAAACTTGATTAGCGAGGTAGTATCACGAGCCCTTACACACAAAAGTTTGGTTCATTGCCTACTGCACGAATGTGTACAATGTTTTCGGTGGTTGTTCACTAAATTAGCAACTGTCAATCGCACCCCCATAATTGTAAACTTACTACCCCAATCAACCCCATCAAATCGTCAGCATTTTATGCTGATTCTGGTTAAGTACAATGTAGGGACATTTGTTGGACACAGATACGGCAACCTGATGAGCCTGTAAACTTCAATAAGACAACAAACATACCCCACAGACCTTTCAGTATGCAGACTTCATGGTGAGTAGTGGATTAACCACATCGACCAGCTAACATTTAAATAACCTTACAACTTCATCAAATCAGAAAGTTGATATGTTTTAAAACAATAAATTCATATCATTGCTGCTGACAATTATTCAAGAAGTAAAATCCGATCCCTTCAGATAGAACTTCCGTTTCGATCTCCTTCAGTCTTGTAATTGACTGACTATATAGAAATTTCGGAATTCATGGAAGTTGCCTTGTTACGTTTCCTACAGACTTCATAAGTATAATCTGGCTACATTCACTTGTTTTCAGTTTATGCATAGAGCTGGTAAACTATTTAACAGACTGTGCTAAGCAGGTTGTTTAACGCGCCGCACAAAACTTTCAAAATGCACGTGAAAATGCGTCTTTGCAATTACTTCAGATGCTACTTCACAATCACATGCAGGTCATTTCAATAACAAGTTTGAAGAACAACCTGAAACGCAAACATTATTCGAAATCATGATCTTAGTCGACGTCCTAATTAGAAAGATCCCTAACAGATACAATAGTATTCCATTGTTCGTACATCCGATGATAACTCTCCATAAGTCCTGACACGGCTGCATGAGTTCGAGTAGAGAACTTTGATTAGCGCTATGTACTTACTCGGTAATCCCTTCACAGTCAGACACTACCACAACACCTCACGGTCGACTGAGTCAAATGTCGCCTTCAGTTCAAGAAATGTGGCAAGTGTCGGCCGTTGGCCTGTATGTCTGAGTTCCAGAGCATATCGCAGGGTGAAAATATGATCGATGCACCCTCGTCCAGATCTGAAACCTGCCTGGTTTTCTCAATTTTGCCGTTCTCCAGCTTCACTTAAGCGTCGGATAACCACGGACTTTAGGATAATGAACACAATATCAGTCAAAGTGACTCCCCTGTGATTGTCAAAAGACTTCTCGCTCTTCTTATAAATTGGGATGATCAGTGAAGCCGACCAGCCTGACGGCACTATCACTGATTCTCATACACTACACAGTACCTCAGTCACTTTGATTACCAACTTTCTACCATTATCCTCGAATATTTCAGGTGGAAAACTGTCAGGGTTCTGTTGCTTTGCATTTTTTCAGGTTAGAAACAGCCTTCTCAACTCCAAAGAGAGTTGGACGACTGATATTTACATCGAGCTCAAGTTGAATGCTGAACATCTGAAGCGCTGCTGATGACCAGCTGAACTGTGCTTCAGTGTATTCTGTGAAACGTTCCAGCCAGCTGTTATCAGCGTCCCATCCTTTTCGGCGACGGTTTCACTCAACGTAGGCTTCTTCTTGCTGGTATCCTTAATAAGTAGTCGACAGGTGTTACCTGGCCTTCATGTCTTCTCCATCTCTTACACCCTCACAATCCACCACCGCTGGCCATAATTGCGGGAATTCTTGGTCAACTTACGTTTGAGTTGCTTTCGCTCATCGTGATCAGAGCCAGCTGGAATCAGTCTTCTTGAATCAATCAGTTCAGATGACGCAGCAGATATCTAATGACGTTTTCTGACCTTCGGGTGTGGGTTACCAATTGTCCTTACACCTGTTTCTACACCAGACTTACTATCACGTGGTGTTTCTTCGGGATGAGCTTCGTTGTAACGTTTATATAAATCCTTAGGTAAATCCTCTCTAAATGCGCACCTGAAGACCTTATCTACTAACCGATCACACGTGGACCTCACTGCTTCCTGTGGCCAGTAAGGCGTAGACATACGAAGGTCCGCACTAGTGCGTGATTGGAGTCCAAACTGGTACTCCAGAAAGATCGGCAATACCCCCATCGATCCTCTCCAATGATGGCTTACAGTAATGTGATCCTATCTGTGTTCATCGTTGGATTGTTGTCAGTAGACGCCTTGTGAGACAGTGTATCTCCTTATGCCCAAAGTTAATCCTGGCCAGAAACAAGTGACTGTCGGAGCAAAATTGCAGCATACGACCTCCATTGTCGGTTGACTGGTATGGGATCCCATAAAAAACCCAAGAATGGGTCAGCCTTTCTACTTGAGTGTTTAAGTCGCCTGGTTATGACTACATCTGAGCGTCTTTTCTGTAGCAAATATCCAGTCTCTTTTAGAATTCATTTTCTGCATTATCCGAGCTAAAATCGGCGAGTGCTTAAACGGAGTTCACAGATAGGCATCGGCTAATTTCCTGGCCCATTGAGTCGAACAGTAAATAGACAGCCGTTGAGTGATATGCAGGTGAGAAGCGCTCTTTTGGCTCTACAAATCAAAGTTATGCGTACACCACTGAGTCCTCAACAGTAAATAATTGGGTGGATTCTGAAGATTCACTACTATGACCATGTGAGGTCAGTTTAATAGCCACACTGGGTTCCTGTATACGTGTTTCACATTTTTCAGATAATCTACGTCTTCTAATTACATTATCCAGATTCATAAAAAAGACTAATTGTTTCAAGTACCTGAAAAAGATTTGTGACCGTAGAGCCCATGTGATATCTGCTTGAGATCTGTCACACACGACCTTTCGTGGGATGGTGCTTTGAGGTTTGGCAGTCCCAAAGACGGAGACAGAAACCATACCGCCGGTACTGGAAGACTGTGGGGCAGGATGGTGTGTTACTTATGGAACTGACTTTTCCTCCCCATAAGGAAAGTAACATCAGCGTGGCACTGCTGGTCATCCAAGAGAAACACCTTACTGTTGTCACACCTCATCTAGCTAGCAGCAGTTCAACTTCGCCCTCAGACCCCCATCATAGCGTGTTAATTTATATTACAACGTTAGTTGCTCTTCATCTTACCACTACCCAACAAACTCTTCTGGTTTGGTAGGACTTCGAGAGAACAAGCGTTCGACCAGCATAGCTCGTTGGGGTAACTGTGATACACGAGCCCAACCGCTACGTCAAGATAGAAACCATCGGTGAGGCTATTTAAATAAGAAATATAGACGCAATTTTTTTTCAAAAAGTATACTGAAACAAATAAATGCTTTTACAAGACTGCTCAGTGATAACAACAAGTTAATTATCCAAAATAGGAATCCGGAATCAGACTGGATCACCGGTATCCAGGTGGTGGTGGAGGTGGTGGGGGATATCCCCTCCCAACAGTTACCGGTGGCATCCCACGGCCAAAAGCAGCAGTTGGAGGAGCGCCTGTTGGGGGAGGTGGTGGCGGTGGCATACCAGGGAGGGCACGAGGTTGCATCAGACCTGGTGCAGGTGCTCCAACTCCCCATACTGGTCCACCTAAACCGGCAGGTGGGACTGGAGCAATAGCTGCAGCGGGTGTAGCAAGAGGCATGCCACGACCGACAGCGATACCCGTTAACGGTTTGACGCCAGTTGACCAACCACCAGCTGTAGGGAGTGGGACACGAGCAGCATCTTCAGGAGGTGGAGGACCATCTACATTCATGGTTACCTGAATAAAAAGAATAAATGTATACATGAGTCTCGAAAAACAATATGCAAGAATACTCTTAAACTTATCATGAAACCATCAACTCTTGATAAACGAATCAAAGATATTACAAAAATACACACACAGACTCAACACTCTCAACAACCACGGAAAGCACTTTCCACCAACTATTTCATTTAACTCCTAACATTCCAATCACTTAATGGAAATAGACAATAGTCTCAATGTCAACCACAGGGGAACACTGCAAAACATTTTATGAGGATTTAATTTAATTGTGAATACGAAATACACATGATGATATGCAGATGACTACACTAAATAGAGACTTCTGGACATTTTAAGTGGCAATTTGAGAATGTTTGGAATGCATTTCTGGCCATAAAAACGCAAATTGTTGCTTCACGACTGGTCTTTAATGTTGCTCTGGCTGAAAAAAGAGAGTGAATGGCTTGAGTGTGTTGACCACTTCGCCTACCTGGAATGTAGGATCAGCTCTGGTAGCTCAATGGCCGACGAAATATCTGTGCGGATACAAAAGTTTCAGTTGGCTTTCGTCAACTTACGCCATCTATGACACCGCCGCGATTTTCGATTGTCTGTTAAGGGTCGTTTGTACTACACTGCAGTCCATTTTGTTCTACTCTATGGCTGTGAAACAAGAGCATTAATGGTGGAAGACATGAGAAGGCTTCATGAGTTTGACTACCGCTGCCTTCGTAGCATATATCATGGTGTCACCACGTAAGTAACGCAGAAGTCAGGTCTAGAGTTTTAAGCAGGGGAGGAAAGACAGTTGATGCAGTTGTGAACCTTTATCGATTAAGATGGCTGGGACGTATTTTACCTATACCTAGTCGCCGTTTGCCTCATAGCAAAATGTCGGCCAAAGTAGGTCCAAGCTAGAAAAAGGCTCGGTGAGGACAGACCAAACCATGGCATCAGTAAGCGAAGTCCTTGACAGTTTGCTTTAGCCATGTGGGACTGTACAGACTAGTCGGTTAGGGTCCATGGGACAAGAGAAACCGGTAGTTGGAGACTTTAGGTGGTACAGTTCAAAACCAATATCAATGAGGCAGATGTATACATACATTATCCTCATCTGAACCGCTATAATTAATCACATCATTTTCTCATTCCTACATCCTCTCACTGACTACTTTCCACTTTTGACTGATTTTGCTTTCCATCATATTTCCTTTTATTTCCATGCTGCTTGATGTGCTAATATCAGGTGTCAACTTGGACCATTAGGCAGTAATCCCTGGTCCTAAAAACTGGAAGGACATAACTAGTCTTGTGCTTAAGGGAAATAATAGGTAACCAGTAACTAACTATCGACCTGCTATCCTTACTAGTATCATTACTAGGGTAAGTGAGATACTGCATGACAAGATATTCGAGTACTTAGGGACATAATATACTGATACACAAAAAAACATGATCCTGGGCCGGAGGTTCCTGTTTGACAAACTCACCAGAAACAGAGGACTTGGTTAGGGCTAGGGACAAAAAACTCCTCGAGGTAAGGGTTAGTAACCGGAAAAGCCTCAAAAATTAGGATATCGATAATGGTGTTCAGTTGGAGATTACGGAATACTTGCACGAGGCAAAGGGTATGCATAAATGGCAACCTATAACCAGGGTTCTTCGGGACAAGATCCTAGGACCACTACTCTTCCTTTTTTACGTTTAGGAATTAGCAAAGATCCTTAACTCATCATCGCTATTACCCGACGACAAACTGGCATTGATTTACAAGTATTTATTAAAAGACGAATATACTGTGCTGTAACTGGTCTTATTACACGACCGTCAGGCAAGGTCATTGAAAGTAGAAAATAAGAGGTTACATGTTTTAGACCCCAGATATCTGTAAGGCAATGTTCGAGAATGGTGAGCAATGCAAAAGCTTGGAAAAAGGCACAAGGTAAAGAAGGCAAGTCGGTCAATAAGGTTGTGAACATTCAACAAATAGGCTTGGATATGTATTGTGCATATTGAGCCACCTACCTCGACGCACAATGTTAGCGGAGGTAGGCTGTTAGATTAAGGCGAAGGGTAACCAGAGGAAGAGATGAAACCAGTTCATGAATCCTCTGGTTTAATCTGAGTCATATATGAAGGTATAACCTACGCAGCTGGGGTCCCCCAGACGTGGCTGGAGAATCCGCGATTTGTCTGGAAACTGGCCATGGTAGCAATGTATAAATTGTCAGGGCCGATCTCCTGAATATTTTTACGGAACTCCACTCACTTCTTGACCCTCCTGCATGCACCTATTTCTTAAATGCCGCTTTGAAGTGTGTAAGTTTGAGTTGACTTCTATGTCGGATCCTTTGTTTTTTTGGAGGGTCATTAGTGATTATAACAACAGACTTATGCTGTAAGCTTACCTTCATGAACCAGTCGAATAATGTAAACGATAGAGCCTGGGGAACGATTGCGGAAAAATGTGGTAACGAACACTTAGTAAGTAGTCTGGTGACTACTCCTTGAATGGCCTACGAATACCTCGGGTTTTAGAACGAGAATGTTGGATTATTGTTAGCTCAGCCAGCATCAACATAGGAGCTGGCAGTACTGAGTACCAGTGCAAATTGAGCCCACAGAAAATTGTAATGTTTCTGCAGCTGACGCACTTCACATGCCTCGGTCGCTTCGCAGAGCATCCGAAGACTGTTAGGATTCTCAAACATTATAAGGTTACATATGTAAGGCCTCGTTTGGAGACTTGAGAGCTAGTACATGTATCAAAAAGGGTTGATGCATTAGAACGGGCTCAAAGCGTATACACTAAACTAGCGATAAGTTTTACTCACCTTACATATGAAAGGCAACTAAGGCATAAACTTTTCCCCGTCTTGTTGTGGTGAAATGTGACCCAATTTTGATCATGAACAAAAAATTAAGCATTGTTTTGCACAATCTTTGGTCTGTCTAGAACTTCATCTTGGAAACCCAAAGGAAAAACCACAAAGTCGCGGTCAAATAATCAAACAGGCCACTATTTCTCTTATAAAAGGAGCTGGTTACCAGAACAAGTGGTAGCAGCTCCGATTAACACAGTGAAAGTGGGTCTGCATAGAGATTACGAGAAGGAACAAAACAGAGTGTTTGCTTATGATCACCAATGAATGAAAGTAGTGCTAACTCATGGTCTCAGATATCTACTTCTTCATCTAGGGGAGTACAACCATGCAGTTTAGGGCCTGGAAGAAGACTACCAAAAAAGGGTAGTCAACATCATTCGTATTATTAAACAACTCATGAAACTACACACCATTTGAGATATTTCACTTCAACTGGTTACAATTCCCAACAGCAAAACTAAACAAAAATCTAAAAACGAGGAAGAATCGAGACATCGTCCTGCAAGAAATAAGGGTCCATTATTACAAACAAGTATCTAGCGTTCAGCGCAAATTAGTCAAGAGTATATAGTTACGTGGGTAAAATGTCAGTGATTATGGACCAGTACTTAGAGTGGGATCCAGGAAACAAAGTGGATACTGTTTACGAAAGCAATCCATGTGACAATACAGTCTGTAGGCTTCAAATTTATCTCAAGAGTCCAAGGGTCTTCAGAAACTGCACATGACAATCGTCCCGTATTCATATACATTCGCTCATTAAATTTGTTTGGACAATACAAGCCTTAAAATTTTAAGGTTACTGTGCCACCAAAAGTGTAGATGTCTCAGGAATGAAAATCATTCAAGGGATCCACTTACCACATGTTCTCCTCTCAGTAAGACAAGACCCAGAGCACGCTTTTCTTGACGATCTTTGTCCTGCTTTGCCGTTTTGCTTTTCACGTGGCGAAATTCATCACAGTCACATAATACTATGTTCATATGGCGATCAAATGCTTTGAATGTTCCGACAAGCTGTCGGCCATCTTGCATAGTACATCTTATCCGATAATTGACATGCTGACTGATTTTTGCATTTTTACTAACAGGCTAAAGAACAGATAATAACACGCCAAGAATTGACTTACCATAGTTCAAAGCTAATAATCCCAATCCTATGGCCGCCAACACGTTCAAGTACAGTAAAACAAGCACTGGTGTGGTTTTTCAAACAAGAAGCAGCTAACTTCAAGCTAAGAAACAGCAAACTCTTTCTCTTTGAGTTCTTAGTCCGTATAACTTTTAATTATCTTATGTACAAAATAGGACAGCATTTTTACAGGTCTGAAGATGCCTGGTACTGATGCTACAATTCAGAATTTAATTCACATTAGAGCCTTGGTCTGGAATACTGTGAACCAGTCATGCTTGTATACTGTTAGATCTTTATTTTCGTTCATGCATTGGTTGGATAGGTTAGTTGGTGTATGGGACACCAGTTCTTCGGTGTCCCTCTTCACCGAAGACGTAAGCTTAGAGAGTCATGTGTAGTGATGCTGTTAGGCATGCGCTTTAAGCCGATTTAGATGAATTGTTAGATCGGTCCAAATGTTGTGCTTGGTAATCAGCTCTAATAAAGGTGAAATTATGAAAATTAGTCATCAACTCCTGGTGGCGTTCCGTAGACAAAACACTGCAGAAAATAAATTTATGAGGATCTGGTTTCTCATTGAACGTGTTGACAAAAGCTGCTGATACTGCTTGTTGAGGTAGGCAGTTCCAACTGTTGACCACACGACAGGAGAAACTCAAACTAACGCAGTTTATTCGATCGCAGCCTTGGGATTTTCTTATGATGCCATTGCTTTCTTAGATTGAGAGGGCCGTGCTTCGAACTAGATGGGAGGGTGTTGCTTTCTAGGTGAACCGCGAAGGCTCTCTTAATTATCCCTTCTATGATTTTTTTCCCGAAACTGGTGAAGCTTGTAGTGTTTAGCTCCATGCGTGCTCACTGGAGCCTGACTCGTTGATCGGTCTGACTATGGCGTGCCTAGGGCGTGCCTTAACTGAGTCACAGTCTAAATAAGGTGGTCAATGGTCTAACTACAAAGAGTATAAGGTCTCTGAGTAACTTCAAGTGTACATCACCCAGTCTCACTGATTCTTCCATGCACAAATTACTTGCCACAGCATACATTTTACTGCATCTAACATCCAAAAGGTGGATTCTGTAGGATGTTAATGCCCTACAGTTGAAGTCATTTGCACTGAAGGTTCTGGAGTAAAGACTACAGCAAAATATTTGACCGTGGTCTTTCCTTCGTCTTTAAGGTCTTCGTTTGACTGGACCATTTCTGTTTCTCAAATATGGGCGGAGATAACGCATCCCGCCTCATTGCTCCTGTCTCTTCAGAAGAGGGATCTTTCCAGATGTTTCGCTGTAGCATGGGGAAGATGAGTTTCGAAGTATAGTAGGTACGGGTGAACTAATACAGAACACATTTAAAGTTAACCTGCACATTTTCTTCACTTTACAAGGCACGCTTTATTCCATCATTTTAGGCTGCTGATTTAGAGGTAAATCCACTGTAGATTCATTTCGTTCATTTGAAGTACTTCACAGAATGAACGATTAGATCACCCAAGAGTATATCTTCCGGAAATAACATCATGCACCTCAACTGGTTTATCCATCTATTCTTCAAAGCAGGTGGAAGAACTGAAAGTTATCATGTCTGCTGCCTAGACACTTAACTCGATGATGTAGCATCCACCATTTTCGTGTACAACCGTTTATATGGCCTTCACAGAGAAGCTGACCTTTACATTAAAGATGAAACCACCTTTAAGTATGGGGGAAAATCGCTGAAGTACATTTTTTGTTCACAACAATGCCCTTTGATGAGATCAAGTGAATGAGTCATCACAACATTTTAAAGGAGCGTATTCCAGAAGTTAAAGCACCCAAATGCCGGAATTATTGTTGACCTCAGGCAATGCACTTTCATGAACCTCCAAATTATGACCCATCTTCCCAAAAGGGAGCTCCATGTTAAAGATATGTTGAAGACAAGCGGTTACTCAAAATAATCACCTTACAGTTCAACGGTTTTCGGTAACAATTGCAACCTTCCTGGCACTAATGCTCTTCTTTGGCCGAGCGTACCAGGTAAAACATTCGCGCCATTCAGCAAGTTATTTTGCTGCCTTTCACTTCTCGTTTGCGATCCCTTGACCAGCCAGCTCACGCATCTCACGATACTGTCACGGAACGATAAGGACATATCTACTACTTGGTAGTTGACTTTCGCTACCTCTTGGCGCCACATTCACGGGTATCCAACATTCATACTAAAGCAGCGGTAGTTCCGTGCATCCTTTTCACAGTTGGTCACCGATGTCTTGTAAGGCAGTCAAAGCGCATCTGGGACCATCTGAGCTTTCGAGAGGGGAGGACAAGGTAACAGGCTAGGTCTTCCATCCAAACTTTGTTCTGTTCATCTAACGTTTCGACAAAACCCTTTGTCACTTAGTGATAACTTTTCGATACACAAACATGTCTGTGAAACGCTTACGAAATGTACTCCTTCCAAGGGTACGAGGAGAAGGCTGGCTTATTCCTCGGACACTAAGAATACCCTGCTACCGACTTCTTGTTGCATTTGGACTGGGAATTCGCAGTTTTCCACTGCAGATCTATAGTAGGATGTTCGTTGCCACATACGCAGTATCTTTTTACCAGTTCCATCGTTTTCCAATTTTCCACAGGCGAGAAGCGTTTTCATTTGCTGCGTTCAACAGAGTTTACTTCGCAAAACCCAAACGATGCTTTGCATCGATTACCCAAGCTCTTCGATAGCTTTAGTTCCAGAGGGTTGTGATGTAAACAGCCAACAAAACACTAACGTAACACAGGTTTAGCGGCCTACGGCTCCAAGTTGCCCCAGTATCTATCTGTCAGCACCCTGCAAGTTCAGAAACACTAATCAGGAGAGTCACATGATGAGGTTACTTATTTGTCACCGTTTTTATTTGTCCTTTGGGTTCCTAGTGGAACAGAGGGCTCCAGTAGTACGTCTCCACTTTACCCAAAGTCCGTTCAACCCGGTTCCACCACTGCTCACAAGCTTTCATTTCTTCCCCACACCATCTCCATGTCATCCCCGCCTCGGAAGCCCGACTCGTACTTTCCCCTTCGGCTTCCACTCGACGGCTTGGCCTAACGAATGATGTCCGCAGTCGGTCTTCTCCGTCTATGTTCGGTCCAATCCATCTCATCTTTTTTCTTCCGAATATTTGTTGGGCTGTGCCCCTGTCGCCTGTAGTTGAAACGATGCTGCCTGACTGGATGGGTGGGTGAAAGAGACAACTTCGTTTAGATCTTTCTTGTTAGTGGTGATTGGTGCTTGTTGCTAATGTTGGCTGGGCATCTTCATCACGTGCGTCTTCTCCACGTCCACCCGAAGGAAGTCCCGTCTTCGCTACTTTGCCCCGCCTTTTCTGCCAACTTGTTAGTTTCCGCCTTTAGATCCTCGATTTTGTGGGACATAAGGCATCTTCTTACGGCTCCTCACACCTTGCATGATCCAGTTCAGTCCAGTCGACCACAACCAGGAAGATGAACGGTGACTGTAGGCGGCAGCCTTGTCCTACTCCTTACAGTCTTCACTTCAAAGGCATCACTGAGCTTACCATTGTGGATCACTTGACATGCGGCATCATCATTCAGCGTATAGCTGCCCTTCAGTGAGCCCTGTAAAAGTTTGTGACACTAAAACGGTAGTGCTGAGGCAGCTGCCTGTCAAATCACTTCTCGGTCGACGATGTCGAACGCCTTTCTAAAATCGATGAAGTTAAGTCTGAGTTGACTCTCATTCTGTGCTCTGTTCTGTGATGATGCGTGGCGTGGTGTTGCAGTTTGACCCCCACATGATTTGTTCTTACTGAAGCCAACCAGCCAGCCAGCCTGTTCAGGTGGTAACCCTGAATTCAGAGTATATTTTAGTCTCTGCAGGATGACCATGCCTAATACTTTGCTGGAAGCGGAGAGCAGCATGATTCCGCATCAGTTCTCTTTCTCGTAGCTCTTCTGTCGATAAATCGGCATTTACCTTTCCTTCCTTCCTTCATTTAAAACCTTTTACAATAGTGGTGTGAGCACGTCCACTGTTGTCTCTGCGTCTGCTTTCAGTAATTCCAGAGGAATTCCATATGGTCCTGCTGCTCCCCAGGATTTCAGCAACCTTGTGACGTGCAGGACTTCCCTTCTACCCCCTTCGGAGGGCTCGTGTTCACTGGTAATTCTGCAGTTGCTGGTGGTATTTATGGACGAGTGGTAGCAGCTGTCGATTCAAGAGTTTTATGAAGTGGTCAGTCCATCGTTTCGTTTCCTTTGTTTCCTCTCTTTTGTGGCAGCTAAGTTTCCTTCATTCTCTCTCATTGGTTCCATCTGTGTTAATCTTTTCCCAGATGTGATATAATGTTGTCAGGCCTCTCCTACCTGCAGCGTGTTCTGTTACCCTCGTGTGTCATAGAAGTGTCTTCCATCTTTGCGCACACTCTTCTTCACTTCTTCGTCCAGTGTAGTGTTTTATAGCCCGTGTTCAGTTCCCCTTTCCGTTGTTCATCCGTGCACCACGCTGCACTGCACTACTTCATCTTCTGCTCCACCATCTGCATCTTCCTCCCCCTCCTCTACAAGCTTCCATGTGTCTATTGAGACCCATTCTTTGTCTTGACCCTCCTTCTTCCCTTCCAACACGGCTATGCGAGTTTCCTTTCACGTCTCTTTCAAAGAGTTCCAGTGTTCTTCCACACAGTTTTCCTCGGGGATGTTGCTCAATGTCTCACATTTTGTCCTGGTGGCTGGCTGACGTGAAGATGTCCTTCATAGCTTCGTCCTTCACTTTCTGTTCCAGGTGTTGAACTTGAACTGTTGTCTATCATCGCTAACTTCTTTCAAGGCTTTCAACTTGATTTTGAGAGTAGACTTCGTGCACTAGATAGTGAGTGGTGAACACCACCTACATCTGCCCTCCTTCTTAATCTGGTCTTGTGTCCATTAGGCCACGTCTCCACTTTCTTCAGACTGAGATGAACTCGATCTGATTTTTAGTGTGTCTTGGTATCTGGTGAAATTAGCTCCATGTGGCCTTGAGTATAACTTTGTGCTTTTACACACTGCCCCCAATCAACAAATCATTAAGTGCGCAGAAATCTGTAA